CATGCAGAAGCCTAGGAGTTGGTATCTGGGGTCAAAATTCCCAAGGACAGAGATCATGTGCGTCTTGTGAATGGGGATGTCTTGAGCAAACCTCTCATTCAACTGCACCAACGAAGACTCGGCGAGCCTTTGTTTCCTCACTCTGGGAGAGGGCTATGGAGCAGGAAGCTCAGGACTGAGACGGGGCTTCTGGAAGTACTTTAGGTTCCTGTGCTCTTTTTGTCTTATTCCTATACATGCCCTGAGGTATAGTTCTTGCTCTGATTCCACAATGGCTGCAGATTCCAAAACATGGGCACCGGACCCGCATTTCTGGCAGGCAGAAGGGAAGTTAGGTAGCAGATGAGCTCATGAATAGAATCTGTACCTTTTCAAACAGGAAAACTGTAGACTTCTTTGAAGTACGTAATAACTTTGACTGTTAGTCAAAGCATACATAGTGCTTGGTCTTGCTTTTTATTTTTAACTTCTAGTAGGGGCAGGGCCATTCCTTGGGTTGGTTAGTGGTTGTTGTTGTTTTTATTATTAGATAAAAATCCCCTATCTGGGGGAAAGACCCTACAAAGTAATTCTTACTATGGTGTTCATGGCAGGTGCTAAACCACTTTCATGGGGGCCTGACCAAATGAGGTTCTTTCCAGAACACACTACCACCACCACCACCACTATCACCAATCAGAGGTCAAGGCCTGGATTCCTGCAGCAGGTCAGGGGAGGAAAGCAGGGTCCTGAGGCCCTGGGCTCCGCTCCACAATCACAGTCACTGCTACCATTAATCCCCACCTTTGTCCCCTGCCTGGAGCTGGGGGCAACTCTCCCAGGAGAGGGGTTAACTGTGGGTGAAAACAATCAGAGCAACCCTCACAAGCTCTCCCATTGTGGACCACTTCTGTGACCCAGGCCCACTCATTCCGCATTAATCGACAGGACACAGGACTCCCCTCCTGGCTGCTGAGGTAGAAATATGGCAGAGTTCTGGGTTTTATTTCTGCCTCTGGGCATATGGTTGGAGAAAGAGCTTCCAGTGATGTTCTTGTAGCTTCAGAGAGAAGCTTCAAGTCCGTCTGCCTTTGAGGAAACAGAGTGATCAGTTCAAATTTCATTCACCATGGCAGCCCATGACGGAGCAGGATAGTTCAGGCTTTCTCAGCATCCAAGAGGATGGGAGTTTTAGGAGACAGAATCATTGCTCGTTAGTAAATCTTTAGAAGATTCCAGTATCAGAAACCACATTTGCAATGACAGCTCCAGAAGCAGATTTGAACCTGTGCTCTGTGAAAACACTTTCTCCTCGTCTCAGGGAGTTTGGAAGGTCTGAGTTTTGCAGGGTTCCAATGACCCTTAAACAAGAGGTCAACTAAGCTAGCAGCAGGCCATTTGAAATGGGAAAGGGCAGAGTATGAGCAGGGAGCTTGGGTTATCAGCATGTACCTGGCCTTAGGTAATTCTCACATGAGGTGAGCATTATCATAACCCCCATTTTGTGCAGGAAGAAACTGGAAGTTCAGAGAAGTGCACGGCTTACCCAGGTTCCCATAACCAGGAACCCAAGAGCTACATGTGGATGGGACTGTGTGTGTGTGTGTGTGTGTGTGTGTGTGTGTGTGTGTGTGTGGTGGGTTATGCATCAGGGGGCCTGGGTTGCACAGGGGACTCTGCTAGGCAGTTGTGTTGGTTTCTATGGCTGCATGACAAATCATTACAAACACCACAAATTTGTTATCTTCCAGTCTGGAGGCTGAAGGCCCAAACTGGGTTCCCCTGAGCTAAAATCAACATGGCGGACCCCCTAGGAGAAAAATCTCTTCCCTTGTCTTCTCTGGCTTCTAGAAGGCACCTGCATGGCTACCCATGACCCCTTCCTCCACCCTCAGGGTCAGCGGTGTGGCACCTGCTGATCTCCCTGTGGCTCTGATATTCCTGCCTCCTCCTTTCACTTGTGAGGACCTGTTTGATTCCTCTGAGCGACTCAGATAATCCCAGGCAGTCTCGTCTCAAGATCCTTAATTTAATCATAGCTGTAGTGCACCCATGGAGTTAGGAGGTATGTGGGGGGGGGTTGGGAGAGGAAGGTGCTTTATTTATTTATTTGTTTGTTTTTTGTTGGTCGTGGGGCTTGAACTCTGGGCCTGGGCGCTGTCTCTCAGCTCTTCAGTTCAAGGAGAGTGCTCTACCCCTTGAGCCACAGCACCCCTTCTGGTTTTCTGGTAGTATATTGGAGATTAGAGTCTCACAGGCTTTCCTGCCTGTGCTGGCTTTGAATGCAATCTTCAGATCTCAGCTTCCTGAGTAGCTGGGTTTAATTACATGAGCCAGCGTCACCCAGCAGAGTCTTGACTTTTTTTTTTTTTGTCTGGTCGTGGGGTCTGAACTCTGGGCCTGGGCACTGTCCCTCAGCTCTTCAGCTCTAGGCTAGCGCTCTACCACTTGAGCCACAGCACCACTTCCAGCTTTTTTCTTTTTGCTTATGTGGTGCTGAGGAATCGAACCCAGGGCCTCATGCATGCAAGGCAAGTGCTCTACCACTGAGCCACCTTCCCAGCCCGAGTCTTGACTTTTGAGAGAACACTTCTCTCCTCCCCAGGACAACTGGTGGGGAGAAAAGCATAGAAGGTGAGGTTTGCCTTCCCCAGGGACCTGCAGCCAGGGGAAACTGGGGACCCAGCAAGAAGATTCCATTAGACTCCAGTTCGGGGGTGGGAGGCAGTGCCTGGGGAGGGAGGATGTGTCTTCGTGATCAGCCTGGGACTCAGGCCCCTACAGATCAGGGTTAGATCCAAGCTCTGCCTCCTCCGGGTGGCAGTCTGAGTGTGGTTGAGCAGAGGCTGGGAAGGAGGAAACAGATGGCGTCATGTGACCTGATTTCATCTCTGTGGGCAAACTCCTGCCCTTTCATTTCGCAACTATGGAAACAACAGCTCAGAGACATAAAGCACTCTTCCAGAGATCACACAGCTACTGAGCAGGGGCTGGGATTCTCCCTGGCGCTGGGCTTCCCAGGGCAAGGAAGGATTCTCATCTCACCCCAATGGCTGTCTGCATCCCACACAGGTGCGTGTGGGCCACATGCGTGCCTGTGAGATTTTCCTACTGGATTCTCTGTATCAGTGGCAGGGTGCTTCGGTTTACATGCATCTGTTTGAAAATGGAAATGGAAGACCGTAGCATTCATGGACTAGTTGTGTCTTTATAACGCGCACAAAACTGAATTTATCAACATATAAGTGAAGATCATACAGAATTATGACACACATACTGTCAATGCATTTGCCCCTCTTTGGAATTGGCTGTACAACTGTTTATACCAAGTCAGAATGTGGCCTCCGAACCTTCCCGGGCCTCTGTTCTCATTTGCAGGTGCTCTGGCCTGGCTGCTTCTCTTGTTGCTTTGGCTGTCCAGCCAGAACTCATCCCACGAGTCTTCAGTCACTGCTCTCTATCACGGTGATGATGTCAGATCTCACTCAGCAAAGCCTATGGAGGAAAAGAAACAGTCTTGAAAATGAAGTTGGAAAGGGCCTGGCTGGGTCTCCCCAGAGCCCCAGGTTTATCTCATTGGCAAACAGACAAGGGTTTGATCAAGTCAAGTTTTATGGGTCCCGTGTGTCGGCCTCTGGCTGGGTAGGAGAGGCTTAGAGACACTTTATAACCTCTCTTGGAGCAGAAATGATGGGCAGCTGTGGTGGCCAAACACCATGATGTTATGGGAGGTGGGTCTTCACTCTATGATGTCATAGGAGGTGGGGTTTCACTGCTCTGGCTTTGCTGGCTGCCAGAAGCTGTATGTTACAAGCAAAGTTAGTTGTCTTTGGGACAGAGTAGGGCTTCTCCTAGGTGTATTGTACACACTCACTATTTCCTTTCTTCTCTATAATATGGGCAAATGATCATCTGAGGAGGGAATGAAGGTCCCAGGGTAGCTTTACTCAGAGTTGAGGTTTATTCATTCCAATTTTCCCCAAAGGTGAAGAAGAAAAAATGCTTGATTTCATGCCTGGGGCTGGGGCTGGGGGTGGCTTTGAGCCTGAAGCGGAGGTGGTCCGGCTGAGGGTCTCCCTGATTGTCCTTTGAGTTTCCAATCAGCAGGCCTCTTGCTGGCCTCGGCCTGGGGCACCGCTCACGGCTTCGTTCGGTGACTCTTCTGTACTGGTGTGGGAGCCTGCAGCCTTTTTAGTACCTGGGGAGAACCCCCTGCTTCCCCCGGCTGGGGGCAGAGAGGGCAGAGATTGCCAGCTCCAGGGCCGCTGCTAGAACCAGCCAGTCCCCCTTCAAACACCCATTCCTTGGACTAGCTAGGTGACTGTGGACAAGTCATTTATTCCCATGTCTCAGTTTCTCCATCTGTGAAGCGGGACGGGACGTGAGTAGCACTTCTCTCAAAAGATGGCAATGAGGAGCAAAGGGTTAACCCAGAGGCTTAGGCCCATAGGAGCTACATCCTGGACAATAGCTGGTGTGTGTGTGTGTGTGTGTGGTGTGTGTGTGTGGGTGTTACTGGGGCTTGAACTCGGGACCTCACATTCTTACTTTGCTTTTTTAATCAAGGCTTTTTCTTTTTTTTTCTACTTCCGGCTTTTTGGTGGTTAATTGGAGATGAGTCCTACGGCCTTTTCTGCCTGGGCTAGCTTCGAAGCCTGATCCTCAGATCTCAGCCTCCTGAGTAGCTAGGATTACAGGCCTGAGCTACTAGGGCCCACTAACAATCGTTATTCTTGCAGTTAGACAGATCTGGGTTTGAAACTTGCCCAGAGGAATAAATCCTGTGTGGTTTGAGTGACCGAATGCCTTGACTTCTCTGGGCCTCTGCTTCTGTATCTGGAAATGAGCTTGGTCACTGCCCAGGCGTCTACGGGTACGTGAGGAAATAGGGTGTATGAAACTGCTTAGTCTAGGTCTGGTGCCCCGTGGTGGCCCAGGGGACCGGGTCTGCTCCCCGGGGGCCTCCGCCTCTCCTTGGCAGCTGCCCCGCCCTAGTTATGAAGCCCTGGCTGCTGCTGTCTGAGGGCAGGGCGGAAGTGAGGCTGGCTCCTTGAAGCTTCCCCTTTCCTGCCCCGGGTTCCTTCCCTCACAGCGATTCTGAGAAGAAGGGGACCATGGCCCCCCGAGCCGCCCTTGTCCGCCAGACCTGCTGTTGTTTCAATGTCCGGATTGCCACCTCGGCCCTGGCCATCTATCATGTGGTGAGCGCCAGCTGTGGGAGGTCCTGTCCATGTGCGTGTCTGTGTGTGTGTGTGTGTGTGCGTGCGCGCGCGTGGGTGTGCGTGTTGACCTTTGACTTACTATTGATCTCCTCTGGCAGGAGGGCTGCTATCTGCCATCTTTCGGTGGGACTCCAGGACAAAGCTTTTCTTACCCCAGGCTTCAGATGGAGGAATGGCAGTTTGGGGTGCTCTGTGTGTAGCCTGCAGGAAGAAACTGCATTGGAGGCTGAGATCCGGGGTGGTAGGGAGGACATAGCCTGGGACCCCAAACTCCTGGCTGAGAGATCTATCACAGGCCTGGCTTCGAGTCTTCTTAGGGCCTGAGCCCTTCCAGCCCAGGGCTGGAAGTCTCCCTTCTGTTTCCAGAAAGAGTCGAGGAGCTGAGTGTGGCCCATTCCCAGCTCAGCCAAACCATTGTGGTCTAAGGACACTCTAGACCATGTGCAGATAAGAGACCAGGGCTCTTCTTCAGAACTTGCTGGACACTGCTCACCCAGTCCAGTCTCCAGTCACCTCACAGTGGCACTCTGGGAAACTCACAAGCCTGCGGGACAGAGCTTCCCCCGTGATTGCTAGCTGGAAGCCAGGGTCTCTGTTCTGTCCCATCCGGATTTGTGCCCAACCCCCATATCCTGGCCAGCTCCCCCAGGTCCAGACGCCTTCCTGCTCTGCTTTGGTGACTCGGGGCCTGGGGTGAGCAGCATGACTCATGAACCTGGAAGAGCTTCCTCAAAATTAGCCTCAAGCGGAGGCCTGCGGTGGGTTGCAAGGACCTGGCTGCATCTGCTTCCAGTCGAACAGGGCAGGAGCGAGAGTGGCCGAGTGGGTAGCCTCACCCTGGTAGCACCTGGCCTCCGCAGCTCGCCTCCTGGCTTCCCTGCTCCTGGGCTGTGCAGCCTGGCATGACTTGCTTAACCTCTCTGAGTCTCTCTTGTCACCTAAGCAATGGTGATGAGAATTGCTGCGGGGTGGGGTTGCTGTGAGGAAGGAGGGATTGGTTATATCCACCGAGGAAAGCCTGACACAGTGGAGAGCTTTCCTGTGAATGATGCCCCAGGTGGCTCGTGGGCAAGGAGTCACCTGTCAGACCGTAGGGGCACGGAGTTTGTCCTGTTTGGCTCCTGTCCTGACACCCTGGCTGTGCCCACATGGGGACTTCAAGGCCTTCAGTCTGAAACTGCAAGTGTGTGTGTGTGTGTGTGTGTGTGTGTGTGCGCGCGCGCACGCGTGTGCACTTGAACCCATGGCCAGGGCTCTGTCCCTTAGCTTTTCTTGCGTAAGGCTGGGCTGGTGCTCTACCACTTGAGCCATTCCAGCTTTTTGGTGGTTCATTGGTGATAGAGTCTCACAGACTTTCCTGCCCTGGCTGGCTTTGATCTGCGATCCTCAGATCTCAGCCTCCCAAGTGGCTGAAATTACAGGTGGGAGCCTCCTGTGCCTGGCTAGGGACTACAACATTCTCGCAGGACAGCGAGGTGTGCAGAGATGGCCCTGTCCAAGACCCTGGGTCCCTACCCCCGCGCTGCCACGGGTGGACTGTGGGGCCTCCAGCAAGCCTGTCTCCCAGCCAGTGTCCCTTTGGAGGTAAGGGACTGGGTCCTGGCTCAGAGATTCCCGCCTCTGGGGTCCACTTAGGTTGGCCAGTGGCTCTGGGGGCCGAGGGGCCTGTGGTGGCCAGGAGTCTGCCTGTCTCTCTCGTGGCTGCTCTCCATTTCCTCTGAGTGTCACCATGATGGCCGTGGGCACGGTGGCTCTGTCGCCTTTCAGAGAATCTGCGAGCAGTCTTCTGGGAGCCTTCTGCTGATGTGTTAGTGTTGGTGATGGATGCTAGTTTCGAATAAAATGAAGGTTTTTTTTTTGGATCACACCATCTAATCCTGTCTTCTGTAAATGGTTTTGGGGTGTCCAGTCCCCATCTACAGAACTGTGTGTGGGCAAAGTGATCAGGGAAGACTTCCTGGAAGGTGGTGCCTTTGGCAGGAGGGGCAGGGAGGGCTTGGCCGTAGGCACTGTGGATGGGAGGAAGAAAGAGGCACACAGGTGTGTGTGTGTGTGTGTGTGTGTGTGTATACACGCATGCATGTGTATGCAAGCCTCTAGCTTATCCTTCAGATGTCCTGGCAAGAAGGCTGTGGTGTGTCCTTCCCAGAAAGAGCAGGGCTGGGGGCTTTCCTGCAGCCCAGCAGGCGGGCAACAGGTGTGCTGACAGAGCCTTGAACATCTGGCTGGAGGAAGAGAAGCCGCTGTCCAGATGTGCCAGTTGCCCGTGCTGGCGTCATCTGGAGCCAGCCAGGGGTGACCAGGGTGTACGTTGGGAGCTATTTGTGGACTTGGCCCCTCAGGGGAGGGTTAAATTTGGCCATGAACGTCCTGAGACAGCACCCCACTTCACTGATCACGGAGTTGTGGGGTGCTGTGATGGGAAGATCGTTTTGTGCATGGTGTGGTCCTGGGCCTCCGGCAGGGAGCACACTGTTGGGATGTGGCAGGGTCTCTGTAGAGGATGCTCGGGATGCCTGGTGCACACGCACGCACACCCAGGGAGGCAGAGGACTTTCTTTAGTAATCTCACAGCTCCTAAGTCAGCGCTGGAGGTGGGGACCTCTTTGCCTAGAACTCTGTCCCTCCCTGACCTCTTCTCCCCTGAGTTCCTGGAGTCTCACCATCGGAAGTGCAATCCACATCACACCTGCTTGATCTAAAAACCCACACAGACGTCCACTGCGTGCAGACAGAATGCGTCAGTGGCCGCTCGATGTGTGTCAAGGCAGGCTGTGGATTTGGAAAGTCCTCCTTTCTTCCCACTTGTTTCTTGCTTCCCTCCTACCCCCCTCCTTCTGCCCTCTCTTTTTCCCTCCCTCCCTTTATTGGTATTGGGATTGGAACTCAAGGCTCTGCACTCTTGCTCAGCCTACTTGCTTTGCTGTGACTACGCCACATGAACCACTCCTCTAGCCTAGATTTTTGCTGCTTATTTTGGAGATGGAGTCTGGCAGCCTTTTCTGCTTGGGCTGGCTTTGAACCTCAGGCCTCTGGATCTCAACCTCCCAAGTAGCTAGGACCACAGACATGGGCCATGGCTGCCAGGCTGCGATCTCTATTTCCGCCTTGGTACCGGACGTGTGTACAATGTCTTAAGAGTGTCTATTTCACTTTCCAGGCAGCATTTTGATTTGCAGAAGATGGGAACACGGTACAGGGCACTCCAGTGCGTCTGACCCAGGTTTCCTATAGCCGAGGCCTCATATGGGTGTGGTATGTTTGTCCCAGTGGCCACCGATACTGACGTGCTGGTGTTAAGTAGTCTGTGTCTATCCAGTGTTGGTTTGTCTTGTCTCCTTAAGTGCTCGGGAACCCCTGGGCTGGAACAGCTTCTGACTCTCTTTGCTCTCTGTGCCCTTGACCTTGGTTTTGGGAGGGTTTTACACACACACACACACACATGCACAGCCCACCACAGAGCTGGGGCTTAGGCTTGGCCTCCCTGCGGGCGACGCAGCTGTAGATGTTACTGGGGACCCTTCCCTGGAGGCCGTCCATTCTCCCCGTTTCTCACATAGGCCAGCAATGATCATAGGACGCAGTGGGGACTCATGCTGTTCATTTTATACCAAGTTACCACCTGCCCAGTGCTGCTGTAACTTGGTCAATGTATTCAGCACTCTCTCTCTGTGTGTGTGTGTGTGTGTGTGTGTGTGTGTGTGTGTGTGTGGAGTGTATGTTCACATACCAGGGCTCAGACTTGGCTTCTTCTCACTCAGCTTTTTTTGCTCAGGGCTGGGGCTTACTTAAGCCACATCTCCAATCCAAATGCAGTTACTGTATTTTTGTTTTTTTTTTTGGTTCTGGGGCTTGAACTCAGGGCCTGGGTGCTGTCTTTGAGCCTCTTTGTGCTCAAGACTAACGATCTACCACTTGAGCCACAGCACCACTTCGGGCTTTTTCTGAGTCATTCATTGGAGATAAGAGTCTCCTCGACTTTCCTGCCCCGCCTGGCTTTGAACAGTGACCCTCAGATCTCAGCCTCCTGAGTAGCTGAGGGATGACAGGCTTGAGCCACCAGTGCCCAGCCCAAATGCACTAGTTTTTACAGCCAGGCATCCGTGTTGTTTATGGAGGGAGCCCACGGGCTGCAGCTCTGTCCCCAGGCTGCCCAGATGACCACCCTGGCCGGGAGACAGTCCCCGCTGCCCCAACCTCTGGGTGAATGTCGGTGGGTGATAATGCTGGCTGTGGGGGGGGGGCAGACACAGGTGGGTGGGGCAGGGCAGGGCCCGGCTGGGACGGGCAGGATGTGGTGCAGCTTCGCAGACGCCTGAGGTCTCTCAGGCTGGCACCGTGGGGGGGGCAGGCGCTGGCGTCCCAACCACAAGCTGCCATCTTCCACCTGTGGGTAAAGGCCGATGTTACCATCACTGGTAAAATGGAGAGCGGTGAGGATGGTAACAGAACGGCCAGAGGAGAGACCAGAGCTAGCAGAGGCTCTGTAACAATGGTGATGACAGGCTTGTCATGTGGAGGGGGAGGAATCTGTGCTCTGGAGATAAACAAGAAGCAGAGGCTTGGGGAGCGGCTTGAGGGGTAGATATTGCACAAGAAGAAGCTAACCAGGCTGCGCTCCATGCCTGGAGCTCAGCTCTGAGCTCACAAACGTCTGTCCACAAAGAGGTTAATGCTGGGATTGCCCTGGGATCTGCCTTCGGGATGACTTGTCTCCCTGTTGTCTGTCCTGGTGTGTGTGTGTGTGTGTGTGTGTGTGTGTGTGTGTGTGTGTGTGACAGCACTTCCTGTGCCCCAAGGTGATAAACCGTGTCAAGTATCATCAGCTGGGCTCTGCTGTACCCAGGGCCTTTGCACGAGCCACTGCTGCTCGTGGTGGCCTCTGGCCAGCGCTGTCTGCTCTTCCCCAGCCCCAGCCACACCTCTCTCCCCCTCCTCAACTGTTACCATTTGCCAGGGGCCTCCCGTGGGCTGCTCTGAGCCCGTGGGTCACCGCAAACCTGTTCACTAGAGATGCACTCCTGTTCTTCCATGTGCCCCTCATGAAGTCACCTGCCCCCATTGCCTGCTGGGAAAAGGCTCCTGCCACACTGTTTCTGCTCAGCAGCTTCCCTGAGCCCCACCCTGGACGCCCAGTTCCCCTCTGTCCCTGAAGCCTGCCTGCTGATCCCTGTGGGTTGTGTTCGGTCTGGCCTGAGTCATCTTCATAACCGCCAGGCCCTGCCAGTCAGTCTCTAGGCTATGTTTTGTGTGTGTGTGTGTGTTTGGGGCTGGTCTTGGGGCTTGTACTCAGGCCCCAGGCGCTGTCTCTGAGCTTTTTTGCTTTTCTACCCCTTGAGCCACAGCTCTACTTCTGGCTTTTTTGGTGGTTAACTGGAGATAAGGGTCTCACGGACTTTCCTGAGCAGCTAGGATGACAGCTCCTGGCCTTAGGTTAATCGTTCTAAGTCATTTACCCGCAGCAATGTGTAGATACCCCTACATGCGGGTGGCGACCCTGGAGCCTCTACCTGTTACGATACTGGCCAGGCCAGGCTCCAGTGGCTCACATCTGTCATCCTGGCTACTCAAGAGGCTGAGATCTAAGGATTGCAGTTCAGAGCCAGCCTGAGAAAGTCTAAAATGAACCACTTAACAGCTGGAAATGGAGGTGTGGCCCAAGTGGTAGAGTGCCAGCCTTCAGTGAAACAAACCTAAGGGACACCGTCCAGGCCCTGAGACGAAGCCCCAGTATTGGCACAGAAGGGGGAGATGGGGAAGGAAGAAAGAAAAGGAACAAAATTGGACAGGGTCTGCCCCGGGCCCTTCGTACCTCCTCCTGATCACTGCCCTGCCCTGCAACCTCCACCCCTGTTGGCGTGGCGTGGAGCTCTCCCGGAGTCCCAGCACCTGCTTCCAAGCTGCATAGTATTCCACAGTGCCTTCCTGGAAGAAGCTGGTCCGTGTCCCTGGGGGAGGAAGCTGGGGTTGTTTCCATTTGAGGCTGTGACAGAGGGAGGTGTGTGGCTGTTGGGATATGTCTGGGGTCCTCATCCATTGAGATGATGGGGAAACTGAGGCACAGGAAGAACTAGCCTGCTGAGAGCCACCCGGGGCTTCCATAGCCTCAGCCAGAGCCCCGGAGCCCTGCAGACCCCAGGCCACCCCGCCAGGGACACAGGGCCGGGGTGGGTGCCATGGCCCGTCCACCTGCCCAGTGCCGCCTCCACCTCCTGCAGCCCGCCAGCTGGTCCCCCACATTCTCCCCTCCCTTCCCGTGTCTACCCCTTTCTCTCGGCGTGGTCTGCAGGGTCGCTGGAGAACGAAATAGAACTTTGCCCGGCCTCTGCCACTTCCTCCAGCCCTCGGCTTAGAAGGGAAAGCAAGGGGAACCAAAACGAGCCACAGAGGGAAGAGGCCGGAAAAGCAGAACAGAGAGAGGCATGGACAGGGGGAGGGCAGAGCGGCAGGCGGCCTGCGGTGTGGGATGGTGCCCGGAGCTGGCTCTGGCTGCACCCGTCTTGCTGTGTGATCCTGAGCTGCTAGCTCTTCTCTGGGCCTCCCTTCCCCATGGGTAACAGCTCCCTCAGGGATCCAAACACACTTGGGCCTGTGCATGTGCCGTTTCCATTTCTTGCTACTTTTTCCTCTTTTGGAAAACTCCTATTTAGCCTTCAAAGCCTCACTCAAAAGCTTGTTAGTGAAATCTTCTCAGCATCTGCTGCATAGCAGTGATCTCTCCCCAGTTGTCCCCACGGTGACTGTGAGCACACTGTCCACACCTTGGGTTCTGCAGGTCTCGGTGGACAGTTCGTGCAGACAGAGTGCCGACCGTGGCAGGTACTGAGGTTGCCTTGCCGTGGGCTGGCTGTGTGTGTGTGTGGGGAGCGTCTGCTTCCTCACAGCAGCCCGGGAGGGACCTGAGACTGGACAGATCAGTGGCTTTACTCAGTGTGTGCTGATTGAACTCAGGGCCTGGGCTCTGTCCCTGAGCCTCTCTGTGCTCAAGGCTAGCATTCTATCACTTCTGGCTTTTTCTGAGTAGTTGATTGGAGATAAGAGTCTCACGGACTTTTCTGTCCCGACTGGCTTTTTTTTTTTTTTTGGTCGGCCATGGGGCTTGAACTCTGGGCCTGGGCGCTGTCCCTCAGCTCTTCAGCTCAAGGCGAGCGCTCTACCACTTGAGCTACAGCGCCACTTCCATAGGAGTCTCACGGTCTCTCCTGCCCGGGCTGGCTTTGAACCGAGATCCTCAGATCTCAGCCTCCTGAGTAGCTAGGATTACAGGCGTGAGCCACCAGGGCCCGGCCCCGACTGGCTTTGAACTGTGATCCTCAGACCTCAGCTTCCTGAGTGTGAGCCACTGGTGCCTGACTTAGCCACTAGCTTTTACAAAAACATCGTGTGTATATGTGTGTGTGTGTGTGTGTCTGTGTGTGTGTGTGTGTGAGAGAGAGAGAGAGAGAGAGAGAGAGAGAGAGACAGACAGTGAGTGCTGGGGCTTGAATTCAGGGCATTACACTCTGGATCGGCTTTTTCACGCATGGCTGGTGCTCTACTCTTTGAGCCATGTCTCCAGTCTGTCATTTTGCTAGTTAATTGGAGATGGAGTCTCTCCGATTTGTCTGCGCAGGCTGGCTTTGAACCTCGGTGCTCAGCCTCCTGGGGAGCTAGGACCACAGGTGTGAGCCACGGGCACCTGGCTCACCTCTGCACAGTCTTCCAGCCGCACCGGCCATGAGCCAGAGGGGCCTGATTCTGGGCCCGAGCTGGATGGGGGATGGAGGTTATCTGTCCGCAGTAGATTCAAAAGCCAGGTGCCCATCACAGGCTGGCATGGGACCCTAGGACCATGGGAAGGTGGAGACTAGAAATCTAGTCTCCCTGGAGGGTCCTCTGGTGGCAGAAAGGACGGACAGCCTGCATGGCTCACCCTAAACCTTGCAGGATTTCTGCCCCATTGGCCTTGCTTGGTTTAATGACTCCTAGTACAAATGGAGGGGGCTGTCCTGCCCCAGGGAGCAGCCCGGCCCTGAGAGGAGCCCAGAGCCCAGAGCGGAGGTACCAAGGCTCCATTGTAGCAGCCATGTGACCCAGGCCTACTTCACGCTCAGCCTCTGTTTCCTGGGCTGTGACCTGGGCTGAGAGGCCTGGCCAGCGGGGCTTGGAGCAGTTGAGGGCAGCATGGCTGTGCAGGAGCAGGTCTGAGCAAGTCAATGCTGCTTCATCTGCCTTCCCTCTCCCGCCCCCCCCCTTTTTTTTCTCTTGCTGGTTCTGGGGCTTGAACTCAGGGCCTGTGTGCTATCCCTAAGCTTTTATATTCAAGACTATCACTCGACCACTTGAAGCTACAGCTCCATTTCCAGCTTTTTGGTAGTTTGTGGGAGATAAGAATCTCAGATTTGTCTGCCTGGGCTGGCTTTGAACTGTGATCCTCAGATCTCAGCCTCCTGAATAGTGACCATTATAGGAGTGAGCCACCAGCAGGTGGCGCTGTCTACCTGTCACGATACACAAGGGGTGTGGGGGAAGGAGTCCAGCCAGCAGCGAGAGACCCTCCCATCTCCAAGCCTGAGCTTGAATGATTTAGTAGCTCCTCCTGAGAGCCGGTGTGGTCCTGTCTCTGTCAGCTCATCAGCTGGTCATGGCTGACTTACTTTATGAGCCCCATTGGACGGATGGGGAAACCGAGGCCTGGAGATGCCCACCTGTGAAAGGTACCTGTTGATCTAGGAGGCCTGTGGCCCTGAGTGTTCTATCCTCACCCCAGTCTTGAACAATAACACAGGAGCAGTGTGGGAGCCCCGCTGACCCATCTCTCTTCTCCCCAGATCATGAGCATCTTGCTGTTCATCGAGCACTCGGTGGAGGTGGCTCATGGCAAAGGCTCCTGCAGGTTCTCCAAGACTCTGTATCTCAGGATCGGTAGGTGTGGGACAGCCAGCCTCTCCCTGGCTGGGGAGGCGGGCAGGGCCTGGCCAGGGCAGATGGGCTGGGCAGTGGAATCCTTCCCTTCCCTTCCTCGTGGGAAAACTTCATCCCTGTCCCTCCCGGAGGCAAGAGGGCTCCAGGGGGCTGGAGCTGAGGTTGGCACTTCAAAAGCTGCCATCCCCATGCGCTGCCCAAGCCTGCCACCTCTGCCAGCAAGCCTCCTCTCTGGGGACTCAGGCCCCCAGGCTGCCTGTAGCCCCACACCCCTGCCATCTCTGCTCCCCAATCCGGCCATCTCCCCCTACCCATGGCTTGTGGCTGGCTCCTTGTCACCCGCAGGCCGCTCTGGCTAAGGTAGGCCCGAGGCGACTCCAGGTACACTCTGAGTCTTGTTATCTGACGTGCTCTGTTCCCTGTGCTGATCCTGCCCCGAGACTGGCTGTGACCTGAGGGCAGGGTCCGGGGCTCCCCTGTCTACTCTCAAGTCTCCATGCCAGCCGTTCCCAAAGTGTGGTCCTGGCAGCCCAGCTGGGGTCCCCAGGGGCACCCCGAGCCCTCATCACGCTCCCCTGCCTTCCAGCCAATGTGATCTCCAGCTTCCTGCTCATCCTGATGCTGTTTCTCATTAGCCTGAGTCTGCTGATCGGCGTGGTCAAGGTGAGGTCTGCTGTGGCCCAGGAGGGGGGTGTGGGGGGGAGAGCCAGGGGCTCCCAGCTGCCCTCCTGCCCCTCCTATAGGAAGCCAAGAGCCCCTTCCACACCTAGAGACCAACATACTTCCTTTGGGGGGAGCTTTCTCTCCCCACAAGACTCCCTTCCCCAATCTAATGGCCAGAGTTCCCTGATGGCTTGTACCCTCTTATCCCACGAGGAAGGATAGCTTTGGGGACAGGGGCCAAGGTGGGTTTTGTAACCAGCACCAGGAGCCAAAGAAACAGAACACGGAGACGTAGCTGGGCGCCGAAGGCTCATGGCTGTCATCTTTACTACTCAGGAGGCTGAGGTCTGAGGATTGCAATTGGAGCCTGGGCAGGAAAGTCTGTGAGACTCTCATCTGGGACTCAGGTGGTGGAGCACTTGCCTTGAGCAAGAAAGCTAAAGGAGAGCAGAGAGAGAGAGAGAGAGAGGAGCAAGCAGGCATACTCTAGAAATCCCAGGGCCTGGGAAGATGAACCCCTGGAGAGACAGTGACCAGAGGCTGTCAGATGTCCTCTCTGTCCCCTCCTCCCTGTAATGCGGACACAAAGCCCTTGCTTGTGGGGATCTCAGGGATAAGTTGAGGATGGGATGGTTTCCCAGACACTAAGACTTCTCCCACCTGTCCCCAGGTGGGCACGTGGGCCCGGGCAGGCCAGGCAGCTGGCTTGGGAGGGAAGGGGGCGCACAGAGACTTAGGCTTCGTGCCAGGGACCCCCTGACGGTGCAGGGCCTACCTTGCAGAGCCGGGAGAGGTGCCTGCTGCCCTTCCTATCCCTACAAGTCATGGACTTCCTGCTCTGCGTGCTCACGCTGCTGGGCTCCTACGTCGAGCTGCCTGCCTATCTCAAGTTCGTCTCCCGGACCCAGCCGGTGAGTTTCCAGCCCCGCATCTGGCTTGGGAAGGGGTGGGGCTCAGGCTGCTGAGGGCAGGGCCCCCGTTCCTTGGAGATGTCCCTGAGCTCCCTCACACCACCAGGCCTCTTGTGGAGGCCTCGGATGGAAGGACAGCCTATAGATGCGGGTCGGGAGGGAAGCGTGGAGTGAGTCTCACCACAGGCCGGGCCACCAGCCCCTGTCCAGCCACAGCCCCAGTCTTTCCCCTCCTTGGGAACCAAGATGAGGAATGACAAAGATGACATCATCAGTGGCCACCAATGAGTGTGGACCACCTTGGTGGCTGCAGCTGGTCAATGATGCCCTCTCTCCCAGCCCCCCGAACTCACTTTGCCCGGGTCCCCTGACATGTCCCTGAAGACCCCAGCATGCTATCTTGAGGAAGAGACTGATGTCCTGGGGTCTGGAGACCCTGACTCCAGCCCTGGGCTGGATCAGTCCTGATGTGGACATTTAGTCCCCTCTCCTTCCTTCCGTATGTTAAGAGGCTCTGATGTCTCTAGCTGGGCCTCTGAGTGCTGACCTCCATTCTCCTTCCTCCTCTCTGTCCTCCAAAGGGACATTCCAGGGTTCCAATGATGACCTTGAAGCTGATGGACTTTTGCCTGAGCATCCTGACCCTCTTCAGTTCCTACATGGAAGTGCCCACCTATCTCAACTTCAATTCCATGAACCACATGGTGAGTCTGGGTTAGAGAGAGGTCAGGCCTTTTCACTGGCTGTGTGGCTGTAGGCAAGTTGCTCTACTGCTCTGTGCCTCGAGGCTTTAGGTTGGTTTGGCTGTGAGGGATACAGTGAAGACATTTGTAAGGGTGAGGGAAGCAGTCCAAGAAAAGCAGGAAGCCAGACAGAGGTGTGGGCATAGGAGTGGCCTGCCTGAGCCCAGAAGGGCCCCAGACCAAAGAAGATTGTTTTCATTCCTGTCTAACAAATCACTCCAAGCATCCTGGCTTAAGTGGACTGAGGCTATATCACAGTGTTGTTTTGTTTAGGTAGCTGGTCACTGATAGTTCACACCTGTAATCGTAGCTACTCAGGAGGATGAGATGTGAGGATCCAGGTTTGAAGCCAAGTCTCTAAGGCTCTTTTTTAAAATAAATTTTTTTGTTGCCAGTTCTGGGGCTTGAACTCAGGGTCAGCTGCGTTTGCTCAAGGCTAGCATTCTATCACTTGAGCCACAGCACCACTTCCAGTTTTTTCTGTGTATGTGATATTGAGGAATTGAATGCAGGGCTTCACGCATGCTAGGCAAGCACTCTATCACTAAGCCCTTGTTTTTGGATGAAGCCTTGCTAATGTTTTGCCTGGGCTGATCCCAAATCTGCCCCCCACCCACCTCCCTACCCTCCTCCCCCGTTTCCAAGGCCCAGGATCTTGGGAGTGGTTTGCTGACTTCCTGATTCAGGGCCAGGTCAGAATGGCCATGGAACTGGACTGGGGGCTCCTTGCCCAACTACTCGCACAAGACCCTTCCCCACAGAGGGCTGGAGAGAGGGAGGACATGAAGACCCACCCGCCACCTCCTCCATGCCCTTCCTCAGCCCTCGCCCACTCTCAGGAGCAGAGGGCAAGACTTCCCCCCAGAGGTCATCTCATCCAGAGTGAGCTGGGCACTGCTGGTCAGGGGGTGTAATCTCCCGACTACTGCAGGATCAGATGGCGCCTGGCAGGAGTCAAGACTGTCTCATTGGTTACAGTACAGTGTGTCCCCCGGGCAGCCAATACCGCCAGCTGTCACAGTGCCCAGCTTCCCAGAACTAGGCCCCCTAGGGCACCCGCTGCACCTCCTTCTTTGAGTCGGGTCATCTTCCCCATGAGGCTGATGGTCACCTCTGCTGGGGGGGGCGTGGCTAGAGTTCCTAAGGGCCAGGGGTGGGGTTGATGCAGCCGCCACATCTGTTGCAGAATTATTTCCCGAGACAGGAGGACATGTCTCAGAGCCAGTTTGTCAAAATGATGATCATCTTTTCCATCGCCTTCATTGCGATTCTCATCCTCAAGGTGAGTGGTTCTCATCCTATGGCTCTGCGAACAGAGGCTGTGGCCCAGCTCCAGGCTCCCAAAGCCTCTCTTTAGTCATTGACCAGCTCTTCCCGACTCCAGGGGGACCCCTGGGGACATCCTGTGTCTGGACTTGGCTTGCAGGGGCCCCTGGATTCAGATGTCAGGGCTCAGTGTATAATACAGGCCAGTGCGCTGATCAAGCAGTGCATCTGGGGTAAGATTTGAACACAGACCCAGGTTTATCTGAGTCCTTCTTCCCCCACCCCTCCAGTCTCTCTGAAGCCTTGGGGGAGGTCCACGTCACAGCTCTGGGTGATGCTGGGATCTGTGGTCACATGATAGAATTTGGGCGGTGGAAGGAGAAAGGGGCGTGGTCTCATATTTTTGAGGGGGTCAGACCCACGACCTTTCGGTCCAGCTTCCGGTCCCAGGTTTGAGACATGGAGACACAGTGGTGTGGATTTGAAATAGTGTCCCCAATGGAGGGGCCAGGGGGCCATCTTGGGTGGTATACATACACAGAACATTCCTGAAGGCTTCATGGGGAAGACAGCGAGGAGCTGCTGTCCTGTGCTCTCCTGGAAGGCCCCCTCCCCCGTCCTACAGTGATTCCCCTCCCCCAGTCATATTTCCTGAGACAGGGCTCTCCCTCAGCCCCCATCTGCCTCCCTGGCTGCCCTGGCCTGGACAGATAACCCCATCTTCTGTCCACACACGCTCAACTAGCACTGATCATGTACACACCTGCACACACACTTTGTCTGCACACACCCACACCCACTAATGACAACACACTGCTTTGTAATCGGCCTTAAATGAATGCTGCAGTCAGGGCCTTATTGAATTGGGCCTCTCCCACCATCCTCTCTGACTCAGGGTGGGGAGGATCCCTCAGGGATCCCCCATCACTGGGGTATCAGACAGGATCTGAATGGCCATGACTGGGGGCCTGGAGGAGAACTCAAGTCCCGTAAAGCCCTGGCTGCGTGGCGGCCGAGGGCCAGGGGAAGGGCTGGACTGCTCTGGACCCGAGCTGTAGTAGGGAGATCTGAGCAGCAGGGGGGTGAGGGAGGCTCCCCAGAAGGCAGCCGGCATCCACCCCGGGCCGCTGGGGGTGGTGAGCCGGAGGATGGGAAAGGCTCAGCCTGGGCCCGGCTCTTCTCCAGGTCTACATGTTCAAGTGCGTGTGGCGATGCTACCAGCTCATCAAGCACATGAACGCGGAGGCCGAGAGGAGCAGTTCCAAGATGAGTTCCAAGGTGAGCCTGCCCACAGGATGAGCCCAGCTCCACCAAACCCTTCCTGGGCTGCTCGGGCCAGGTCCTTTTGTTTATCCTAGGACCTCAGTTTCTCATAAGGGTCAGACCAGAAGAAGAGTGTGTGTTTCCATGTCTAATCATCTAGGATTTATCTATCCATTCATCCATCTAATTCACCCACACATTCACTCATCCATCACCTATCTATTATCCATTCACACACTCATTTATCCATGTATGTTTCTATCCGCCCATCCATTCATTCTTTTACTCATCCATCCATCCACCGATCTACCCATCTATCCATCTAGCCATCCCATCCATTCATCCATCCACCTATTCATCCATTTACACATCCATCTATCCATTCATCCATTATCTATTCACACATCTAGTCATCCATCCATTTGTCCACCTGTCCATCCCATCCACGCACCCCCTCATCTATCCATTTGTCCATTCCTACATCTATCCATTCATCCATGATCCATTCATCCATCCAGTCATTTGTCCATCTAGCCATCCATTTATCCATCCATCATCTACTCATTCATTCATCTGTCATCCATCCATCCATTTATCCATTCATCCATCATCTGTTTACTCATTCATCCATTCATCCATCCATTCACCTATCTACCCATCTTCTCATTCAGAATTTACTGCCTCTCTTTTGAATTCATGTCCATTTCTGGGGTGCAGAGAAAACTGAGCTACCACCTTTTCCCTAGAGACTTACACAGGGCAGACTGAACCCATCAATAGAGCTATGTCTGTAACTCGGTGCAAAGCATGAACCTAGTCCTAGCTATGGGGAACACCAGCGAAGGCTTTCTAAGGGAGGTGGCTTTGGCCTCACCTTGGATGGTGAGATGAGTTTGCTGGGGTGGGGGAGGACGCTTTCTAGACAGAGGACAGGAAAGCACTTGGAAGCTTCTGTTTGGGAAGTGATGGAGGAGAACAGCTGTTCCAAAGGAGCCCACTTCTCTTCCGCAGAGTGGAGGTTGTATTAGTTTAGACATCCTTGGTCGTAAGTGACAGAAACTTAACTCAGTAAGTTAAGTCCAGGTCAGGCCTCAGGAGTCCTGGAATTAGGATGTGGTCTCCACCCCTCCAGCCCTTGACTCTGCTTCCTTTAGCTCAGACAGCCCTTCTCCATGGTGACAACACAGCTGCCCAAACCCCTTAGGCTGACATCCCACCCTTCTTGGTAACTAGAACAGAGAGAAATACATCTGATTGGACCACCACCACCTTCAGCTTCTGTCACTTGCCTGTTCCTAGGCCAGTGATGATCGCCAGGGGCAGGGTGACGGGGCCGGGGAGGTGGGATTCTGTGGATGTGAGGGACGGGAGCCCTGTTTCCGAGAGTATGTGTGCGGAGACCTTTCCTCAGAGAAGATGGCGCTTTGTTACACAAACCTGGCTAGGGCGTTCCCAGGGGGTGGCTGTCACAGAGGTGGAGTTTGAGTTCCTGGACCCCAGGGTGATGCTCGGCCCTCCTCTCCGTCTCTCCCAGGTGGCCCTGCCAACCTACGAGGAAGCCCTGTCTCTGCCCTCCAAGTCTCCAGAGGGGAATCCGGCTCCGCCCCCATACTCAGAGGTGTGACCAGGCCAGGCCCCAGCCCTGGAGCTGGGAGGGGCCCCGTGCTCCACAGCTGCTGCTTTGCTTTGGTGGGGTGGCCGCCTAGCTAATTACAGGACCATCTGCTGTGTACCCCTCTCCGGCTCACTCACAGTTGGGTCCCCTTCAGCTGAATGGCTCTTCAAAATGTTCCAAAAAAAAATCTACTCCAACAGTTGGGCTACTTTTCCATGAGCAATGCTACTTTTCAGATGACAGTTCTGGGTTTTTGGTGAGTTTGGTCAGACAGCCATTGGCTTGATCCATTGAACCAAACAGCTGAGAAGTAAGCCACACCGATCAGACCAGTAAAATAATTTGGTTAAACAATGAGCAATCCAACCAACCACCTGTCACTGAGCATTAGGATGAAGCCAGGCGCTGGTGGCTCACGCCTGTAATCCTAATGAATCAGGAGGCTGAGAGATGAGGATCACTGTGTGAAGCCAGCCCAGGCAGAAAAGTCTGTGAGACTCTTATCTCCAATGAAACCACCAAAAATATATCTGTGGCTCTAGTAGTAGAGCCCTAGCCTTGAGCGGAAAAAGCAAAGTGAACATGCAAGTCCTCAAGTGCAAGCTCTCTGCAGGAAAAAACCCATCATGATAAAGCTCATTTTGTCCTGCAAACAATTATACCCAACTAACCCAGCCACTGGCCACTCAGTCTGGCCGGTTTAGTGGTCCTGATCGGATTAATTCAAGGGGAATCCAAATGGCTGCCCACTCTCCGCAGGAAATCACGGTTATTTCCATCACCAGCATCCGCTTTGCACACAAGAGTGTTTGCTAAGAAGTTGTCCTCACCGCTGCCCAGGGCTGGCCGGTGCCTGGCAAGCTCCCTGGCTGGGTTACCTCAGCAGCCAGAGCCAGCTGTCCATCCGCCCCACCTGCCCGGCTGATCACATCTTCTGCCCAAGGATGTGGTCCAGCGAACCTCAGGCTGGACTCCCAACAGGCCGGTGTGTTGGAGCTTTCAGTCAGTCAAGGAAACCCTCTGTGGGCGGGTGCAAAGCCTGCTCTAGAGGCTGGTGTTTGGAGGTGTGTGTGGGGGTGTGCTCCACCCATCCCCTTCCCCTGTCTACTTCCCCGTGGGCTGGGATCCTCCCTCAGGGGAGTTAAGGCCCCCACGCCGGTCTCTGAGTCTGCTGGGGAGCAGAGGCTGCCCCCCTGTACCCTGTGTCATTGCTTTGTGCATCACTCAAAAAAGAGGTTTCAATAAAACAGCAGCAAGCTTGGTTCTGGCTCCTGGGGTGGCTTCCTCCTTCTACTTCTGTTCCAAACCCCCCCCCCACCTCCATGGGCTCCTTCAGCCCAGAAATGTCCAGGGCCCACGCCCTGCGTGTGAGCGCCGTGCCCTGGCGCTGTGTCAGCTCAGGCCTGGCTGACCATGTGAGTGGCCTGCTGTCTTCCAAGTCAGGCTTCAGCTCCACTTACCCGGACGGCACCTGCCCAGAGCCAGGGCCTGCCCTGGGCGCTGCGGTGACTTGCTTCTAATTAATCATGGATGGAGGGTGGGCGGGGGTGAGTGGGCAGGTCCACAAACCTTGAGAACGACCCCACCTCGGGGAGCAGCTGCTCAGCCTTGTCTTGAGTAGTAGAATGCGCAAGCCTGCCCCCCACCCCCATCCCCTCTGGGACAGGAGCTCTGAGGCCAGCGGTGGGACAGGGGGAGGGAAGGAGGGAGGGCAGGCATGGGTGTTCAGGCTGTCACTTGTTCACCTTGGCTGATTTTGTCCTGAAAGGTATTCCTGGGAATTCGGGGTAGGGGAGGTACAAATAACAGAGACCTCCATGAACCCAGATTTTTACTCCTAGCCCCTCAAAGTGATCATGGTTCTTAGCTGTCACCATAAATAAAAAGTCCAGGAACTTTTGGCATCAGGCATGGCCAGATCCAAGACTGAAGTGTCTCAAAAACAGCTCTTGGCTACTCAGGAGGCTGAGAGCTGAGAATTGTGTTTCCAAGCCAGCCTGGGCCAGAAACCCAGAAGTGGCACCGTGGCTCTAAGTGGTAGAGCGCCAGCCTTGGGTGAAAAAGCTCAGGGACAGTGCCCAGGCCCTGAGTTCAAGCCCCAGGACTGACAACAACAACAGCAGCGGCAGCTGCAGCAACAACAACAAAAATCCCAAACAAAAAACCAAACAAAATAAAAAGCCCCTCTTTCCTTTGCATTCTCCTGTACCCTGTGTGGCCTTGGATGTCCCCAGTGGGGAGCTGCCGGGCCAGGATGGGTTTTAGGACCCTAGGGAGGCCAGTGAAGAGATCCTGCAGGGTAGCAGAGAGGGCTGGGGGTGGAGAGCTGTTGGTGTTTCTTGGGGATGGTCCAGAGATACCAAGTGACCTTCCCAAGCTCACACAGCAATGAACCCTGGCACCATTTTTCTTACCCTGAGTGAAGGTTGTGGAGACAGAGGAGGGCTTTAGCCTATGTGAGCTCTAGGCTTTATGAAGATCATTAGGATGAGCCCCTCTCCAGAAGCGCCCATCAGGGGGAAGAGCAGTGGTGGTAGGAAGAGGAGCGGGGGAGTAAGAGGCTGTGGCTGTGTGTCCTGAGGCCCAGGAGCCCCTGGAACACTCCCTCCTCCCCCCGCCCCCTCCTGGCTGCCGGAGCCCTGGTGAGCTGTGTGGCTGGATTGTGCCCTGGTGTTGTGTGTGTGTGTGTGTGTGTGTGTGTGTGTGTGAAGTCCGCACAGCCTGCCAAGGCAAGCTAGCGGCCGTCGGATCTCCGGGCAGCTCTCCTGGGCCATCAATACCTCGCTTGAGGCCCAGACAGCCTCTCTTTGACAGCTGTGGGTGGGGGGGGGGGAGGCAGCCGTAGAGGGAAGGGCGGTCGCCCAAGCGAAACAGGCTGCTGGATGGAGAAGCTCAGGCTGTCTCCCGGGGGCCCGTGCTGGTGGCAGATCTGCCCCTCAACCCCTGCCACGCCCACGGATCTCCCGTGGCTTCCCGTAGCATGTGGTGGTGCATTCTTGGGGGCCAGGCAGGAAGGACTATGAGGCAGTCACCCATCGGCCCCGTGCGGGGCTGGGGTTGGACTCTGTTGGCCGCACTGGACGTGCGCTGGGCGCTCTGGACCTCTCTGGTCCTTGCTCTTCCTCTTAGGGAACCCACAGCCAGGCCCGCATTGAACTCTGTGCAATCTATGGAGGCGGAACTGTTGGGGTTACAGGACTCCTTCCCCCAAGAAGTTAAGGATTGAGGAATGTCTTTCTATATTGCCCAGGCTGGCTTCAAACAGAGGCTCAAGCGATCCTCTGTACCTCAGCCTCCCCAGCATCTGGAAATACCATGGTGCTGGCATGAAGGCTGACTTCTGATCGGATCTGAGGGCTCTAGACAGCTATCTTCTTCTGACTGGGGAGGTTGCTCCTGACAGCCAGTGCCCACGGCTGGGCGCTGAGGAAGAGCCAGTGCCAGGGGCACAGCTTACCTGGGACAGTGCGTTGAGACACTGCTGTCTCTGTAGGGGACGGATGGAGGGAGTTGGAGAAGGTCCGGGCTCAAAGCACCTGCCTGCCTGCCTAACTCAGGCTCGGCTGTGAGAGCGAACAAAGCGGGGATTTAGCACGTGACTCTGGGCTTGCTTGTTACTGCAGCCTCTCCCAACTCTCCGCGTCTATGGTTCACACTCACACATTCACAGATCTCTTTCAGAAGCCGGCCTGTGGCGTTAGCATGAAGACTACAGTGCCACACAAGAGCAGGGAAAGGGGGGGGGGCAGGGAGGGAGGGTCAATTGAATTAGCTGGAGCTGATTTGAAGGCATCTTGGAATAAACATGTAAACCTACCTCAAACCCAGTGATTTTATGGCTATTCCTTTTTTTTAGGCCGAGGAGAGCTTTTAATAATAATTTTAAAAAGCGAGCTGCTTCAGAGTTAATTAGAGATTAAACAAATCATAATTACAGGGTTTATGTGGACTCAGCGAAGTTGCTGGCCGGGGGTTTCCTGGGCGGAGGGAGTGTCTGCCACAGGAGAGGCCGTGTTCGGCCATAGTGGCCAGATGTGTCCACTAGGAGACAAGACCAGGAGCACTGGAGAGGGAGTCCTGTGCTTCCCGCTGAGCCTCATGACCCGGGGCAGAATGCTCCATCCTGCCTACAGCACTTCAGGCTTGAGAGAATTTCTGGAAAGACCAGATGTGGATACAGGCAGGGAGTGGGGGGGATGGGGGGGCGGGAGAGGGGGGCTGGCTGCCCACCAACCTGCCAGCACCCGTGAAGGGCACCCCCTTCACCTCTGTTTTCTCTGGCCAGTCACCGGACACACTGTTCCTGATTTTGAGAGAGAGAGAGAAAAAAATGTGTCACGTTTAAACAGCGCAAATATTGATTTTCCCTCCTCGATGTATATACTGACCTTCCAGGTGTCGTCCAGCCCAGCCCTGGTGGTGGGATGTGAAAGACGCCCTTCTCTCCGGAGCCTGCCCGCGCTGCTCCTCAGAGCCCACCTCGGGCCTGATTCTGGGCTCCGCTTCCCAACGAGGCAGCGACGCCACTGAGGAGGCCCTGTGTTCCCCGCACACAGAGCGCCATTCAGAGAGCAGCTGAAAGCGGGATTCATGGGTCCAGCTGGGCCTGGCGCACAGGCCCCTCTACCTGGCTCGGGGGGGGGGGCAGCTGGCCCGGGCCTGGGCCCTGTCCTGCCCAGGCCTGGGCCCTGTCCTGCCGGGCCTGGGCCCTGTCCTGCCGGGCCTGGGCCCTGTCCTGCCCGGGCCTGGGCCCTGTCCTGCCCGGGCCTGGGCCCTGTCCTGCCCGGGCCTGGGCCCTGTCCTGCCCTGGCCTGGGCCCTGTGTGGAGACACAGAAGGCACTTGTTACGATCGCTTCTCTTCTTGGCATCTCTCCCTCGCAGGGCAGTGGGGGGAAGGTGCGGAGCCGGAGAGGGGGACCCTGGGAAGGGTTGGGGGGCCCAGCGGCCCCTCTGGAGGAGAGGACTGTCCAGCACTGCAGAGAGGAGAGGCCGGCACCTCCTGGCTTCTGGACTTGGGGAGTCAGGGGCCGCGGAGGCCGAGGGGGACGGAGGCCCCACCGTGGACTCCTCTCTCTCTTCCACGGAGGGGAGAGGCTGCCGTCCAGTCTCGGCCATGCCTTGAAACTGGCGGGGCGGCCTGCAGCTAGATGGAGGCCCTCCATCTGCAAGTGGGCTAACGTTCCCCG